AAAATGCTTGTTTATTGCTTGGTAGGATGGGATAGAGGCGTTCTTGAGCCCCCTTTCCCTTTGTATACACCCTTACTGGCCCCCCATACATGCCCTGCTTTCCAAGCTTTGCTAGTTCATCCCTCCTCTCTATCAAATCCTACTCAAGTCCCACTCTTCCGAAAAATCTTCTCAGATTATTCCAGCTCACACTGAACTCTCTTTTCTCTGAACTCAACCATCTGAACTACCCCACAATTTATTACATCATCCCATTCTTTCTGACTAAGGAAGCTGCTAATATTAAGCTGCTAGTTGGCGCTTTGCCCAAGGCCCCTTGGAATGTTTCCATATGTCCCGTGTTGTGGTTTTTCTGGCCTGTTTGAGGGTAGCTAATGTCATCCTGCCTTCAGAGTCCCTATCTAAGGAATCACAGGTGAGGGTGGGGATGCTCAAGTGAGCTGAGGGCAAGGGGTCATTTCTTCATTGAGACTATGCAGGGAGCAAAGGCTGATGGGTTAGTCCAAGGCCAGGAAGCACTGCTGCTGACCTCAGTGGGGTTGTTGCCAGGGTCAAACCAGATCATGTTTGTCAAGTACTTTATAACTGAAGTAGTGTTTTCTTGGGGGGGGGGGCGGGGATTTAAGTGAATTACTGTTATTATGAAAGACAATACGAGCCAGGCTCTATCTTTTTCATCTTTTTTTTTCTCCCTCAATCTGGTAAAGAGGCTACTCTTTTGTTGTAATGAGTGGTCCTTTTGACTGGGACACCTTCGATTGATATTTCATTTTTGTGTTTATCTTGAGGCTACTTAAGGTAAAAAGATAAAATTTTACAAATTGGATAGGCATTAAGTACCTTTTTTTGTTTTTCAGTTGGAAGACTAGTGATAGCCCCCAGAGCACACATTTATTGAGAAAGAGAGAGCAGTAGAATCCTTGTCCTAACTCCCAATGGAATGTTCTTCCTATAACCCCAGAACATTAGCCTACTGGTTAATAAGTGGTAAAGCAGGATTAAAGTTCTTCAATTCTTTGCACTGTTGGTAGAGTGGTGAACTGGGCCAGCCATTTTGGAGAACAGTTAGGAACTATGCTCAGAGATCTGTAAAACTGTGCATACCCTTTGACCCAGAGATACCACCACTAGGTCTGTACCTTAAAAAGATCAAGGAAAAAGGGAAAAGATCCACATGTACAAAAATATTTATAACAGCTCTTTTTTTCTTTGGTGGCAAAGAATTGGAAATTAAGGGGATGCCCATCGATTAGGGGATAACCAAACAAGTTCTTAAAAGTTCTTCATATTCTAAGTTGTGTTCTTTCTCTTATACCATGCTGCCAGCTTGGGTGCCCTCATACCCCATATTGGCAAACTTTGTGAGCCTGTGGTGGCCTTCACAGAACATTTCCAAGGATTTTTGCCTCTTAGTCATTTCCTTGGCTCCTTTTCCATTTCCTGCCCTAAATCCCCTGTGAGTAGTCTGTCATCCAGAGAGCAAATGAACATCTGTCCAGAAGGGACTTATTACTTTTTTTGGAGAAGGCTGGCTGGTTGGAGACCAGCAGTGACCTGAACCTCTGGAAAAATCTGCCCCAGCAGCAGACAGTTTGCATTTATCCAGGTGTAAGATTGACCATAAAGAAGCTGTATCAGTCAGTCAACAAGCTTTTATTAAGTATTTACTCTGTACCCGGCCATTGTACTAAGGGCTGAGGATACAGAGAAAGGCAAAAAAAGATTTTGCCCTGAGGGGGCTCACATTTCTCAAGGGAATCAGAATATTCAAATTAGTTTGGCAGGCATGAACCTCATGCTTTGTGGCTAACAGGTTAAATGCCCATCTTGGAGATAACCCTCTTTGCAGCCTCCCTCAATTAGCAAAAAATTAATTTGGACGGTATACTTCAACTTTCTTGCTTCGTGCTTTCTTCAGAATTCCTTCCACACTCGCCCTCTATATGCAGCTCTGTTTCAATCAGTCAATTAATATGTAATTAATAGGAGCTCACCATACACAGTGAAGTCCAGACATTTGTGAGCTTTGAAAGCCCTGGTTCTGGGGCTTGTGGCAGAAGCCAGGGAAGGGCCAGAGTTAGTTTCTCTTCTCCCTGCCCCCAGATGCTTCCAGCCAGAGGCCTCCATGGATCTTGGATGTCTGTCTCATTTGCATTGTGAATGACACAGAGGGGAGCTAACGAGGTTATTGGGCAGAGAAACACTCTCATGTGACCCATGTGGAAGCAGACCTACAGCAGAGCTAAATGGAGGCAGGGGCACTCTTTCATCCAGCTTGGCAGGGCAGAGGGGGAAGGGAACAGGTTAGAAGGGTGGATGGTGCAGCTTTTATACAAGACCATAGTTAACCTTAAGTGGGCAGAGAAGGTGGAAAGGGAAAAAGACCTGCTGTCTAGATCAATGTAGATGAAGGAACCCTTGTGGGGGACCCCTGTGTTCCCTGGCTAAGGGCTCATAAGAGGCTAGTGGACTAGTAGAGAGGTTGTATATATTAGCCTTGAGAAAAGAGCTCTAGACTGAATCTGGGGACAGGCAGGCTCCCATTCTGGCTCCCATACTTTCTCTTTGAGGGAATTTTGGTGGGCAAACTACTTCACTCCTGTTCTTTGGGGTGGTCATGCTTACATAGGGTTTTTATGAGGAAAAGACCTTCTATACACCTGAAAATGTTGCATGACGTGGTATCATAGTAGAAAGACAGCTGGACCTGGATTTAAGCCCTGCCACTGATATTTAATATAGGTATGGTCAGGGGCAAGTCACTTAACTCTGGGAGCTTCAGTTTCTTCATCTGTAAAATGGAGATAATTATAAATACAGTACTTAACCTCACCACAGGTGTTGTAAAGCTCAAATGAAGTAATACACGTGAATTACTATATCAGAATCTATTATTATTATTATTTAATGTAAAATAAAATATGAATAATATAAATAAATATAATAAAAATTAACAAGAGTTTCAGAGGATGCTAAAGACCTGAATTTTCCTGCAGTATCTCCTTATGAAGGATAAGAGGGCTAGGATGTGGAGAAGGAGTCATAATTTAGAACATGGCTACCACTTCTACATATGGGAAACTCTCCATAGTCTTCCTGAAATTAGCGAGCTTGCATTGTTCTTTAAAAACTCTCCTTTACTCTTATCAATAGCTTTACCTTAAAAATACTTAATCTCTTTGTATTTAGGAATGTCTTTGCCTCCTCTTCACCAAGTAGAATTAGTAAACTCCTTTATGGATTGGGACTGGAGGCCTTGTATCCCCCAAAGTTATATGGAGCCTTGTACTTAATAAGTACTTAGTAAATGTTGAGTTGCTGAATTGGAGTGAAGCTTCTAGGAGTTTGCCCCTAGAATACTAGTAATTGAGATTTGGTAGATAAGCTATTACCATTGGGGTAGGAGTACTGACTTAGAAGACCTAGATTCCTGAATGAATCAATCAATCAATAAGAAATCATTTATTAAATGCTTACTGTGTGTTAAGTACTGGTCTAAACAATGGAAATACAATAGGTCCTACCCTAAATGCATTTACATTCTAGCAAGGGTATATAATAACACATATAGCTCAATATATCTAATCTAGCCATGCTTCACTGTACACTCTGGCCATCTTACCTGCTGATGCAACCTACCCCTGTCCAGCTCTGGAACCGTGATTAAATCAATCAAACTAATCCTGACACTGGTACTTGAAGCATGTTTCCAAACAAAAATCACCTTTCAAAATTCACCACTTTGTGCCCCTGTATTGGAGGTACTCACTGCAAAAGGTCAGGAACCGTGGTTTCAATTTTTTTTCTCCAACCTCATTAGACACAGCTTTCTCTCCTGTACTCTGTGATCCAACCAAACTGGCCTTTGCTCAGTTCCTCACACATAATATTCATCTTCTGCCTCTTTCTTTGCAGTGGCCATTCCTCCCCATGACTGAAATGTGTCTGCATTCCTTTAAGTCACTTTTAAGTCCTCTTCCTTTAAGCTACAGGTCGGACTACACAAAACCTTTCGTGATTATCGAAACACCACCATCATCACCCTAACTACTAGTAGCCTCCATCCCAAATTAATTTGTACTTATTAACTTTATATTTATGCAACATAGATATATCCATCCATACATATATACACACACACACACATACACACATATATAGGAAATGTGTATATGCATAAAACAATATATGCATATGTATAAGTATGATATGTATGTGTGTGTAGATAGATAGTACTTGTTTCTCCATTAGAACGCAAGCTCACTGTGAGTGGGGATTATTTTTATTCTTTGTACTTGGCACATAGTAGGTGGTTAATAAATATCTGTTGATTGATTGTCGATTTAGGCTCCCCTACTGCTCCTTTCTCTAGAGTTCTTATTTCTCCTGTAAAATGAACACATTAATTCTTGCTGCTCAATGCAGAAAGGCTGACATACTTCCATCTAGTTTTTATGGAGAAGGCATAAGATGAGTGGCTAAAACTTTGGAACTAAGCATAGAAGACCTTGGGCTCTCCTCTAGCTCAGTTGGTGGCCTCTTGGGCAAGTTGTATGTCTTCTCCATCTTACCATTGTTCTTCCGTTCCCTTACCACTAATGGTGGACTGACTGTACTGGACTCCAGGAAATACCTAGACTGTTCATAGGATGGAGAACTGAAAGGGACCTTAGAAATTGTTCACTGAAACCCTCTTTTTTTTACATGCAAGTCAATTAAGACCCTGAGAAATGAAGTGATTTGCTTAAGGTCACCCAGGGGGCAGAATTGGGATTCAAAATCAGGTATTTGTGGGTGGAAGACACCAAAAGTAGGGAAGCCCATTGAATAAGGTTCCATTTTTTTCACATGACCCTCCCCAGCCCGTCTTGCCCAATAAGGTTGGGATTGTATCTTTGTTGAGCCCCTCACCAGTACATACCAAGATGATTTTAGTAGGTCTTCTCCCTCAAGTTCTTCCTATGTCCTAATATCTCCTTGCCCTTTCTCATTATGCACAGACTTTAACTTTGCCATGTACCCACCCTCGATGATTGCAACTGGAAGTGTGGGAGCAGCCATCTGTGGCCTCCAGCTTGACAGTGAGGACAACTCCCTCTCAGAGCATCTCACAGAGCTGTTGGCGAAGATAACAAATACAGATGTGGTATGTAAGCCTTTCCTCCATCCCCAAAGGCTGGGAATTTCTCTTTTCTAACACAGGGAAATGGAAGTTTGGTTTCATACCCACAAGTTGGGTGTGTTTTTATATTTTTTCCTTTCTCTAAAAATGGATATAGAGAAAAAGTGGTATGATTGAAACTTCATCTTTTGTGTTTTAGAGTCATGTCCTACTTTAAGAAAACTTAGTATGTATACATATGACTCAGAATCTTAGAGCTAGAAGGAATATATCTAATCTAGTCTAATCCCTACCCAAAATTTAGACCCTTTTTACAATAACCCAAACAAGTATCTATACAGATTCTATTTGAGTATCTCAAGTGATGGGGAACTCATTATCTTTATATGCAACCATTTACAAAACAGATTAATTAACAGTGATTCATTCATTTCACAAAAGGCTTCCTTTAAATGACCAGCTTCGTTAATACATATAATTTAATTTGTAGAAATATGATCAATTCCTAACCCCTTAGGAACACAACTTTCAGCTAAATTGAGGTCCTCGAGTATTAGTTTAGAGTGTAGTGAGGCGCAGTATGAGATCATGGGTACGTATGGGAAACCAGGAAGCCCTCCAACATGGCTTAAGTGAAAAGAACTTTGAATTCAAACTTAGAAGGTCTGGTAATTGTCTTGCTGTGTGACCCTGGGTAAGTGATTCCTTCAGCTTCTTAGCTTCCATATATATGGAATATATTGGTGTTACCCATTCAGTATCAAAGTGAGAGAGAGAGAAATTTTTTAAAATTGATACTTCTTATTAAAATCCCACATAAGCACTATCATCACTCCAGTTGATTTTCTAATTTTCTAAAATAATTTTCATTAGCTGCTTCTCAGTGACTGCAAGTATTACATTTGTAGTTCTGGCTAAAGGTCATCAAAAAAATGAGATTTTGATGCATACACAACATTTGGTATGACCCCTGAGGAAACATTCTAATGAAGGTAGAGCAGGTGGCCAAAGAAGGACCTTCTCTGCTGATCTGTCACTTTGAGAAAGTATCATCCAGAATATTCAGTGCATGATGACAGGGCATGCTGTCTTTAAAATGAAATTATATTATTCAAAATATACAATAACCTTTATACTAAAGAAGTATAAAGGGAACAAGCTTTCAGATGGTGTTTTTGTAAGTGTAGCATTTATATTCATGAGATTACAAAACTGCAGTTAAGCCTGCACTGAGACTTTTGGGACACGCACACACCCATACACACACACACACACACACACACACACACACGTAAATGCTGTGTAAAGTATAACTTGTTATACAGAATGAAAAGTTATACTATTGTCACCTGCATCTCATGGTGGGGAGAAGGAGGAGGACCTTCCATAAGGGTCCTCAGCTCTGGATTAATGTAGATCAGGTTCAGTCCTGTGGGAACCTCACTCCAAAGGAGAAGGCAGGCTTTTCTTTCACACTCTTTAGCTCTTTAGGCCCACACCCTGGAGCCCCAGATAAAATCTCTTAGATGAGTCTCATTTCCAGGGGCTGTCTCCCCAAAAAGGATTAATAAGATCCTTTCTAGAACAGTTACTTATTGTACAAAGTAGTAGATATCAGGATCACAATAGCTAGCTTTCTGTCCCACCACAAAAGAAATGCTCAGAGTCTCATACACCTGCATTAAAACTTACTTAAAAACACAAATATTGCCTGTATTATAGAAGACCAGGAGGTAGGAAAGAAAGACTTCTAGGAGGCTTGTGTGACAGTTGAATTCTCCATATGGACTGTCCAGTGACTATTCAGGTTCTAGATCTTCTGGCCAGCCAGGCACACCCAACTCGTTCTCCTGGATGTGGTCACCTTCTCCTAAAAGAGAGCACTTCCTGAAGAGCCACTATCACCCTGAGTGCTGCCAAGGCTATAGAAACATCGATCTCAAGATCAGTATTCAGTCCCCCATGATCGAAGAAAGAAACGCAAAGCAGGACAGGCAGCCAGAGACTTCGAATCCAGTCTCAGGTTCACCGAGACAAGCACATGTGCTCACTGTCACATATAGCTGCCGTATCCATATAGCTGGATGTTCAAGTCCCAAGCCTATCAAAAGAAGGAAAGGGAGAGCAAGAATGGCAATTATTTCTCCTTTTAAAACTTAGTACGGAGTGGGCAAGTTCTTTCTGCTTGGTCAGCAATCATCTTTAACATAGACTCTCATTGTGAGGACCAATGGGGAGCCTTTGGTTGCACTTGACTTTTAGTCAGATGGGGTTGAGGCATAGGCTCAGCTTACTACGAAGTGCCCCCATCCCCAGATCAAGGTGTATTATCTTCATAACATTATTATAAACACTGATTTCTTTTTTTTCTCTTTTTGTACCCCCAAAGCACTTTTTTCAGGGGTAGACTTTTGCTTTGAGCCCATATGAAGAAATGTGATGAGTCACATCCCTTAAGGTCATGTCAGACATTGAAATCCAACTGGGTAATTGGGGAATGTTTTAGAATTTCTGACTATTAAGAACCATCTTCTTCAGCCCTTCATTTTATGGAATTATTTTTCTTTTTCTTTTGGCGAGGCAGTTGGGCTTAAGGGACTTGCTAGTGAGTGTTATGTGTCTGAGGCCAGATTTGAACTGAGGTCGGATTTGAACTCAGCTCCTCCTGACTCCAGGGCCAGTGCTATATCCACTGTGCCACCTAGCTGCCCCCAGCCCTTCATTTTAAAGATGGAGATACCAAAGCCTAGAGATATGTAGTGACTTGCCCAAAGGCACACAGCTAGTTAAAAACAAAACAGAATTAGAACCCAGGTCCCCTAACTGCTTCTTGCTTAGTGCCATGTGGGAATCACTTTGCTTCAAAGGTTTTTTGATACATAGCAGGGTTCTTTTTTTTTTTTTTTTTTTTTTTTTTTTTTTGGTCATGGACTTCTTTGGCAATCTGATACAATGTTTGGATCCCTTCTCAGAACATAATTTTTCTTAATGCAAAAAAAATTGGAAAGGAAACCAATTTATTGAAATATAGTTATTAGAAGGAAAAAAATAGTTCACAGACTTCAGGTTCAGAACCCCTGGTTATTAGGAACCATGGAGAAAAGAACATTTGTCTTTAATAGCGCTTGAGAATCACCATGACAACATGCAAGAATGCAGGAAAACTTTACCATGACACATTCCAAACATACCAAGGGCTTTGAGAATGTTCTAGTTTGGGAATGGCTGCCTTGGGGCACCCTGGGCCCTAAAGTTAGTGTCTTCACATGAAGGGGAGCCTCAGGTGGCCACCCGGATCTCTTTGTAGCTTTGGTTTTAGAGATTGTCTTGTAAAGATGCAGAGGACCAAAGGTGGTGTTTAAAGTCCTACCCAACAAGCCTCTTAAGGAATAAGTCTTCTTTATGTGGATGGTGGTTTTTGTTTCTTTTGTTTTGTTTTTTTAGCATGAGCTCCAAAATATTAACCAGATACCCCTAGTACCATGTAGACAGTTTTTTATTGATTAACCTAGTGCCTGCATTAGGTTTACAGAATCCCAGAATTTCAGAGGTAGAAAGGATTTGAAAAATCATTTAGTCCAATGTCCTCATTTCAGAGATGAGGAAATAAAGACTCAGAATGGCAAATACTCTCCTTTTCCTTGAAGATAACTTTGATAAATCTTAACCTGTTTGGAAAAGAATTGCTTCCCGAATTTTCCTTCTCTTGCAATCCAGATTCCAGCCAAACAGGCAGCTGCTCTTGCCCTGATCTCTTCAGAGATAAGATGGTCACTCCCATGGCTGGAGTGCGAACCCAAAGCTTTGTTTTGTTTTGTTTTTTGATACCATATCCCCTTTTCTCCATACAGAGACCCACTTTGATGGGCTTGGCACTGAGCCTTTGTCTCTGATCGTCTCTCTTTTGCCCCATATGGGCGTCACCTTATGGACAAAGCATTTAGCATAGTGCCTGGCCCACACCAAGTATTTAATAATTGTTTGTTATGGATTTCTGTTGGATCACAATTTGGTGTTTCCAACCTTCAAACCAGTCTGATCCTTCTGGCTGTCATCCTTCTGGGACCGCTTTCCCTTCATAAACACTTTTGTGTCCGGTCTATTGCAGTTGATGAGGTAGACTGCTGTTGAATTGTACTGCTTGGACATTGTCACTTGATGCAGGTGAGGTTAGAGGCTGACATGCTTGACAGTCTGTCTTGGGTAAAGAGCTAGGGTTTGTGTGGGCCTGGGATCAAAGAATAATAATAATGATGATACCTCAAATGTACATCATGTTCTGTGGGTTTGCAAGATGCTTTTCTCATAGCAATACTGCAGTACTAGCAAATATTTTTGTTTGACTCTACTTGCTTGATATAAGGGGTTTTTTTTTCTTTTTCTATGGGAGAAGAGATGCTTTGGAAGGAAAAAATAAATGTCTGATAATTGAGGGGGAGAGAACAGTGTAAGCACCTAAGATGGGGGGAAATTTTAGGTTCAGAAGGGCTTTTTCCCAATTAATCACCCAACATGTATGTATTGAGCATCTTTAGTATGCTTAACAGTTCTAGATGCCCTGAGAGAATACAGAAGAAATGTAAGATAACTTCCAGTGTTTTGAAGGACCTTATTATGTAGCTGGAGAGAGAAGGCTTAAATACCCAGACTAGAGTGAACAATTCAAGAAAGTTTCCTAATTAAGCACTGAGCTATGTGGTAGAGGCTGTTGGCACTGTGGGAGGTCATTGAGGCCAGGACTCCTGATTAGAGGAGCACGGATATATTGGCAGACCACAGATGATGTGGAACATGGAGCTCTTTCTAGAGACTCTGTGACATTATTCCAGGTTGATGTTCACCTGTCAAATACAGAAGAAACTCAGGCCCAAAGGATCAAGGTAGAGGGATTATGTAACATTCCTCAAGTGACTCTCATTCAGGAGAAGCAGGAACCCAGGTTTCTGATTCACGGCTCTGAATGTGGTATGTCACTCATAGTAACTGCTAGGTGTGCTCCAGGTGTTGTAAAGTGTCTCAGAACT